TTATCTAATTTACGCAAAGTAAGGCTAATTACTTTTTTGTATAAAAGAACCGATATTCCTTTATTATTGTTGTTGTTTTTTATATGGATTTTTAAAGATATAGAGACCATTTACATCCATTCTTTTTACGTCTTATATTGCAACATTACGTGCATAGTATTAAGACAACGATAAAGGTAAAAAAGGATTGAGATAAATCGAGAAGTAATAAAATAGTAGTAATAATGAAAAATAAATTTTTTATAAATCTTAATTATGTGCTACTTGCCACTACATCAACACCAACTGTATTTTTCATTCAAAAACCAAATTAAGTTTTCATTTTTATTGTCTGCATTGTGCCACGCTAATTGCGGAAGTGAACTCGCTCGTTCAACTATCTTTCCTTCATCTCTTTTGAACAATTTAGGATCTAAATTCCATACTATGACACTATTAAAATCAAATTTCTTTGCCTCCAATTTAGCTTGATTCATCAATATACGTGTTGTTGCTGGTCCATCACTACGAAATCTCAACGCTAACAATTCCTTATCTCCGAAATCATGACACCAAATAATAAATCCCAAAATGTCTTCTCCCTCAATTCCTTCTTTATTATTCTTTACTACAACAGCACCTCTAATGTTTGCTTGTTTCTTACCATCTATTTTTGTACGATATTCATTTCTCCTCAACAACCATTCATAACATGGATAACTTGGTAAGATTAAAACCGAACTTGTCCTTAATTGTTTAAATTCTTTCAAGGCTAAATCACAATCATACTCTATTATGGATTTTAGTGAATCCACGTCTTCCAACAATTTCACTTGAGAAGGAATTTTTGACGGTAATTGATCTCGTAATTTTAAATCAGAATGTAAATCAGAATGTGGATAAAGCTTCCATCCTAGTTTAGAATAAAATTTTGGTCCAACCTCGCTATACAAAACTGAGAAGTGTGCATTGTTGTTGTTGTTGGATTTATCTTGGAGTTTTTCCTGCAATAAACACAACAATTTGCTCGCGTAACCATTTTTACGATATTTTTTTGGTGTAAATACTGTTGCTATACCATAATATATTACTTCATTTATATCATAATCACCATCATCATCATCATCAGTTTGTTTTTTGGATTGATATAACGCTTTTTCTTTGAATGTCTCACATGATGCGATTACTTGCAATGTTTTGGTATCATTTGCTGGAACTAATACCCATATTTGAAAATTTTCACGTGTATAATCTAGATCTTTCAATACCACTTCTCTTTGCAGATATTCATCTACTGTAAATTGTGGGTATCCCCATTCTTCATATGTGTTCCGTTGTGTTCTTGGAAAAAGTAAAAGAAGGTTGTGCATAAAGTAATAGAAAAGTAGGAGGAGAAGGTGAGTTATGTATGAAGTAAGCAGGAGATGCAGAGGCGGGTGGGGTATGTGTAAAGTAGGAGAAGTAGAAGTATAGAGAAAATTAGTAATTAATAATAATAATTGCAACAATTAATTAATCTATTAATATATAGATAG